ATCTGTCTACTGTGGTACTAATTTCCATTCTCAACCGTAGTCTCTTGCCATCTAGACAATAGCTGTGAAGTGTAGCTACAAAGTGAATTAACTGGGAATTAGTATAGCAGTTTGCAGAGTAACTTGTGTTTGTCTAAGTGTATCTCTAAGTTTCTCTGTATTAGCAGACAGATGGTGAAAGTTAACATGTGAGGCACAGTCACAGTAAACGATCACTTATTCAAAATAAGATAGTTTGGGGCATATGAATCTTTTCTCAGGCTGATGGATAGATACAAGCTCTCAGAAAATAATAAATTCTCTGACTGACTGGGTGTTCATAATCAAAGCAGCTTTATTGACTGCATCTGCTAAAAGGGACAATAATCATATTTCTTATGCTAACAATTGTCAAAAAGCAATGCAGATCACATTAAACGGGAATACTCAAACAAAACACTGTGAGCCTTCTTCTGATCTCATCGAAAATTAAAGTTATGCCATTGTGCCTCTTCTGGTAGTTTGAAAATGAAGGCTGCCTGTCTCTGGCATTATTTTACAGTCATTGTTCCATGGACAGTCAGAGACTGTGTATCTGTACTAGGTATTGTCTATGGAGTGAAAAGTTTTATGTTTAATATAATATACAATATATACTTAATATAGTTCCTCTTGTGTTTAACAATTCATAGTGATACACTTACAAGTATATTCTCTGCTCAATTATCAAAAGACACAGCACAGCACTAAAATATTCATAAAGAGCCTGATTCAAAGTCAGTTGGTTCCTAAACCTGCAAAGACATATACATGTGTGTAATGTTATACACTATGAATAGTCCCATTGCACTAAATGGGACTTACTCAATCCATAACATTAAATATATAAATCAGGGTGGATTTGATTTAAATCACTAGTCAGGAAGACTCGATTTAATCATGGATTTCTATATAAAAGTGCATTCTTGTTGGTTGTTATAACCTTAATACATATTCTTCACAACTCAGAGATAGATGTAGGTTTCATTTTTAGAAGGTACACACTACACATTTTTAAAGTGATTTATTTTGAAAACTTTTCAGATTAGTTTTACAGCTATATCAGAAAATGAATGATTGTTTGGTTATTTCATTTACCAAAGGTAATTGAAGCAGATATTTATGAAGTCTTTGGGAGGTGAACGATCTCCAATTCAACAGGTTAATCATTAATATTTGGAGGATTTTCTTGCCATGCTGTATTAGGAGGAGAACATCACCAGACAGACATTTAAATTATTTTATTTAACTAAAACAACAACTTTAGGTATTCTGGATTTTTTTCTTCAACAGCAAACATATAATATTTTAACAAAATAAGCATATGAATTTTTGAATTTAGTTAAACATTCAAGTTTTTTAAAATCAGGTTTGTTTTTGTTAAAATTGTTTTTAACTAAAATAGTTAAATGAAATATTTAAAAAACAAAACAAAAATTAAATCGACTATGTCAGCCAGGTCAACATGAGCAACTTAAAATTTTGGCTTCTGCAGCTAACTCAGTCGTCTTCACCTTCATTTTCCTGTTTGTTCATAATCTGGAAAAGGAAAAACAAGCTTTCCTGCTTTTTCAGGTCCCAAACGATTTCTCAATTTGGAATGAATTAGTCCAAAGGAGGAAAATGTTCTTTCTACACAGGCAGAAGAAGCTACTGCTGTTAAAAGTGAGATTATCACTTCAACAGTCTCTGAATCCAAGTGCTTAAGTGACTTTCTTTAAAACATCATCAGCAAACATATATTGTTTGAATGGTTCACCCTTAGCTCTAAAGTTTATTATAGTTGGCATTATGGAGGGATGGTTGCTGGATGTCCATGTCATAGCCAACTTCTCTTCTTCAGCAGTTAAGGTTTGACCCTAGTACCGAGTATTGAGAATATTTGCAAGAAAATGAGCTGGAGATAGTGTTTGTCCCATTCGTTTTTTTAATGCTTGTAATTTAACTCTGTCATTGCATATTTCTCTTTTTAAGATCTCGCTCAGTTCCTTCCAAATTTCAACAGCGTCAGCAATAAAACAGCTATTTTTTTGTTCAGGGCTACAAAAATAGGCTTCAGAGTACTCAGCATGTGTTCAACATTTCTCTTAAGCCCAATGTTGAGAACTTTGGCTATGACAGTGCCATCTATTTTTTCACTATTTTGTTCACAAACTGTCATCAGATTAGGCCAGTTCTTGATATAGCTCAAAACAGTCCACTACTGAGTTCCATCGCACGTCTTGTGGGAGAGTTAGCTTGGTTCCTCCCACTTTTTTCAGAGCAGCTGCTGCAAAGTGGTTGTTATGGAAGTATTTTGCAATTTCAACATTAGCCTTTATTTCTGGAACACTGAAGTATTTGGCTAGGAGGTGCATCAAATGAGCACTGCAACCGTATGTTGTTAGCTTGGGACTCTCTTCATTCTCTTCTAAATATCTTCTCATCTTGGATACATTTGCAGCATTGTCTGTGACCAAGCTGTGTACTAGACATTTGAATTTTTCTTCACAGTTTGTTATAGCTTTTACTGCTACTTCATGTAAGTATTCTGCTGTGTGTGCATTTCCTGATGTATGAATTGTTTCTGTAAGGAAGACATTCCCTTCTTCTGTTGTCACGCAAGCACACACAACAGGATCATTGTGGACATTGCTTCACCCATCAAGACTCAGGCTAACAATTTCACCCTCTAGACCTTTTGCACACTGCTCAATTTCTCTTTCATACATTTTATCCAGCAATTTGCCTGTGACATCTGCTCTGTTGGGTGGACTGTATCCTGGTCTTAATGACTGAACCATGTTAATGAAGTGTGGGTTCTCAATCATACAGAAAGGAGAGTTTATTGCATAAAGAAACCGGGCAATTTTTTCATCAATTACCTCTTTTTGTAATCTGCTGGTTCTTATCACAAATTTATCTATGGTTGTTTCTGGATGATGGAGATTTTTTTTTCTTTTTGCTACTGTGGCTTTGTGACATACATGATGTGACTGAAACACTATCATTGGCAGATAACTCTGAAACTATAGAAAATGATGGTGATCTTGAAGGTGGATAATCTTCAGAATCCTGTATGTTGAGGATGGATTCTCCTAAACGAAATAAGTCAATGCAGTTATTTAATTATTATTACCATACTGCTCATTTAGTATTACTCATTGCATTCACTGACACTCAGTACTACTTTAAAGGTGAAATTGTAAAAGGAAGATCTGCCTATTTCAGCTATTTATTTTTTTATCACAACTGCATCTAAAATGATAGTACCATAGAGTAACAAGTATATTTTTTGCTCAAACATGAGAATTCAAGAATAGTCCAGAAGGAAGACAGGCAGTCCTTAAGAAAGAAGTATGAAATAAAAAAGTTTACCAACCTGAAGATCCTGCATGTTCAGACATGTTCCTTTCATCATCTTCAACGCAGCTTCCTCCTGAGAAGGAACACTTCTCATGATGTTGTTCATTTGGGAAACCAGGCCTTGCATTTCTTTGTTGCACTGTTTGCATTTTGCACGCATGCTTGTCTTACCCAGAGGTAGAGGAACTTCATTAAAATATTCCCAAACTGGGTCTCTTTTATGGCCTGCTGCCATTATAGTTTTTCCCTTCTAGTGAGAGAATGATATGGTAGATATCAAATCAATGAAGGCTACACTCAGAAAGACCTCAAGACTTCTGGAATATGCTGCTCAAAACAGTTTCACTTTTGTTTCTACTGCCTGTCCCTCCCTTCTCACATTTATATCCAGACTTCTTCTCCTTGTCCAGATCTATTCTGTCCCCAACAATCTTCTATTCATTGAACTTTTTGAAACTTTGCACTTTTAGAGAGAGGTAAGGGATTGACTCTGTATATACAAATTTGCAGAGGGACAGTAGGGTAGAAATCTGTTATTTCTTACCTCTATATATTATTTATTTATTTATTTATTTATTTATTTAAAAACATTTTTGCTGTTAACAAGCATGTTATCTCTGGAGACAAATCCACAGTTTAAGAACTGCACAATTAAGCATCTCTAATGGTATCTTCTAGAGTCTGAGCACCGAGTCCCATTGGGTAGATAGAAAGATTAACCTAAATAATCTATACAGAAGCCCCTGGAACCCCATAAGATTGGGTCCCTAATCCATGAACTATTGAAACTCCATTTACAAAACTTTTCTTAAACATTACATGAATATATTGTCTCATACTATAGAATTAGAATGTATAATCCCTATTCCATGATGAGATATCTTTGAGCTACAATGTATCTTAATTAAAACTATCTTTAGATAGGGTTTTTCCTCAAAAAGCATTTTATCAAAAAAATCTGATTTAAATAAAAAAAATCCGATTTTTTTTAAATCATTGATTTTTATCCACCCTGATATAAATAAGACTCTTTGGAATTGGGGCTAGGAGTCTTTCTTGTTGTTTTAGTGCCCTTAATGAAAGCTAACAGGGTCACAAGCATTTTTCATGTAGAAAAGAATGTGAAAAGGGCTGGGTGTATTTTTAGGAAGAGATACAGGGCCTGATTCTAAGTTGACACACATTCCTTGTTACACCATTGAATTCAGCAGAGATCATGGGATAAAAAGTCAACACATAATTTGGCTCAGATTCCATGTTTTGGAATCTCAGAATTTCCTGTGTTCTAGAACACAAAGACTTGTAGAACTCCTTGAGTATATGTTCCATAAATTGTAGAGAGATATTAAACAGCAGTGTTTAAAAGGGTTAACATTTTTAATAGGCCCTCAAATTCATTTCAATAACATTTGGTAATACCCGAGTCTACCTGTATTCCAATACCTATTATTAAGAATGTAGGTAGTCTTTTCCTCTATATATACACATAAATAAACAACCTGTGAAAATACAAAGCTGAAGTTTCTGTGCGCAAATGCTGCCACAAAGTATAAGCTGCATTTTAATATATTTGCGGTATATGCCTACGTATATAGCCTGTTTCAGTGCAAATAATGATTCTGTTTTTAATATTGCAGGACTATACTTTGACAATGTACTTTCAGCAAGCGTGGAGGGATAAGAGGCTGTCGTATAATGTAATACCTTTAAATCTTACACTGGACAATAGAGTAGCTGATCAGCTTTGGGTTCCAGATACCTACTTCTTGAATGACAAGAAATCATTTGTACACGGGGTCACTGTGAAGAACAGAATGATTCGTTTGCATCCAGATGGAACAGTCCTCTATGGTCTCAGGTCAGTGTCATCCATTTTTAACTACATTTTTAAATCAGTTTCAAACTGAAAAGTACTGTACATAGATCTTCACTACCCATCTGGCTCAACCGCTGACATATTGCAAACAATGTCTTCTTAAATGTTTTAATAACAGATAAGACTATAAAAGCCTTTTTGGATAAACTTTGAGGATTAAGTGTCGTTTTTAGTAACTTTCTAAGATGTTTGTTTTAATAACATATGAAGATATACAAGCTTTTTTGAATAAACTTTCTGGATTAAGTGTCATTTTCAGGAGTGCTTCCGTAAAGGATTTGAAATAGAAAATATCAAGTGGAGGTTAGGGGAAAAAAAAGAAGGTGGGTGCAACTGGTAAATTCATTATTTTAAAAAGCCAGATGCTTCATTTTATAAATCATTTTTGGGATGAGCTGCTCAGAATGGGCTGCACTTTCTTTTGATGGTAGAGAATTTTCTCCATTTTCCTGAGGTGCTGTTGGACTTGAAATGTTTCTTCTGTGTCTTTTATGTTATTATATGTGATATTAGGTGGTTATGCTGCTAAATGTGTTCTCAATGGTGTCATGGTAAAACAATGGAACAGCCTAATTGTACCATAGGAAAACTCAACAATTCTTTTTTGTTGAAAACAGTTCCTGAAAATGGCAATTTAAAACTACAAAGCTGGTAATGACCTGAAATGATTGGAGTGTTCCTGCATTACAGTGTGACAAACTTCCTACTCAAATCTCTCAGATGTTGCCCTGCCCTCAGCATGTACGGAACTAAAACAGATGGAGTTTAACTTTGTTTCTACAAACAAAGGTTCTTGTTCTGAATCTTTTTTTCCCCTTATCCCAGAGTGTTAGTGATGAAAAGTAGTTGTTATCTCAGGAGTATTCAGAGTCCTGTGTGAAATAAGTTCATATGTACACATCACAAATGCCTCTAATTATTGGTGCTCTTGTTGTCAGTCTCAGCAAAGACATCCAGGATCCAATCGATCTGGGGATTCAATTACCCGCTTGTGGTGGCCTCCCAGATATTGCTTTCTAGGCACATTGAACTATGTGGGGACATGTATAATCCATGTTGTCTTTTCTGTACTTTGTTAAATGAAAGACTTCAGTCTTAATTACTGTGGATCTGCCTCTGTTTAATTAATAGAAACAAAAACAAACAAAAACAAAAAACCCCTACCACCAACAAAAAGCCTCTTTACATCTGGATCCAAGAAGGGAAAGGAATCAATATAGACAGCTATTATATGGGTAGTTTTGCTGACCTACTTACAAGTGATATGGGTGGTTTGTGGTTGTTGCTTTATGAACATTGTAGTTAGCATCCATCCTTGTATTGTGCAACAAAATTTAAATTGCTCTTGGAACTCAGTACTGCAATGAAGAGCAGGTATCCAATTCCTTTGTTTTCTTATGAATGATGTCATGTTCAGTCTCGGCACGTTTGACTGCAGCAGGTCAGAGTGAGTGGTTGTGATTAACAATATTTATTATTTACATACTGTATGCTGAACTGCACAATGTGCCACACTACCCAGTCCTTGCCCCAAACACAGTATGGGGTGTGTTTATTGTAACAGCAATGCTTCAAGGAACAGACTGAATCTTCAGAAGTTTGGGAGGTTGAGAGGGAAGAGCATGTTACTGCTTCAGCTGCCTTGGTGGCTTGAAAGAAGGATGGTGGAAAGCCAAGATGACACAGCATGATGTGAAGTAGCCATGGTTGGAAAGCCTCTTACGTGTTTGTTTAATGAGGACTAAACACACACCCTTTTTCAGAGACTAATACGTGGATTCCCAAAAGAGAGCAAAGGGATGAGGATGGAACTGAGGCCTAGAGAAGCAGGATATGAGATAAAAAGGAAAGGGGAGCAGAGACAAGCAGAAACTGGACTGGTGGTTAGATGGCAGCCTGTCAGAGTTCAGGGAACAAGCAAAGTCCTTTGCTTTCTTTGCTTGGAGTGCTGCAGAGGCAATGCACTCAGCCACTGGCTCGAACGTGGCTTGTATTAACCATTTCAGGCTGACTGAAGGAGCAGCAAGAATGGGTTCCAGAGGGAAGGTCAATGCAATGCTTGGTTATGAGTGACTGAGAGTAACTGGGCAAAATAAGAGAATCGGAGGAAATGCCTCTCACCCACAAAAATAAAGGATGGAGAGAAGAAAAAGCAGGATAGAGACAGAAATGCAAGTGAGGGCTGGAGAAACACTGACTGAAATAAGGGCATGTGGGCGTTGATAAATTTACAAAGTAAATACATACAGGATAAGGAATACATAAAAGAAAAATTAAATAAGAGTTCAATGAATGTATAGCTTTCCAAGAGAGTGTGAGGTGACAGGGGGAAAAGAGTAAGTATATTGATGCTTTGGAGGAGAGCTTGAATTTAGAACTGATTGATGGTGAATTTCCATTTGTTGTAAGCTTATAGCTATCATGACTAGGAGTGTGCACCTAGCTCATTTGTTCTGTATAGATATGCTGCTAAAAAAAAAGTGGTGTGTACCTGTTTATTTTTACTGTTTACTCTGAACTTGAATGTAAGCAGAAATATCTTGCCACTTGAATATATGCAAAGTAGCTCCACATCTGCTTAGAAGTATCAACTGTAAGTATCCTGGTCTGAAAAATATTGGGGCATTTATGTTCCTTTTTTTTTTTTTTTTTTTTTTTTTTTTTTTTTTTTTTTTTGCATACGCTGTCTGATATTAGGCATGCAAGTGCCTCTTGAAATGTGGCTTTTAGTATAAAACTTGTTAGATCAGTGAGTTAGCTCAGCAAATGTATCTGATCTCCAGATCTCTCTGTGCATTACTGTTCTTGAAAGTAACTCTGTTGGACCTGAAAATAGTTTAAAGATTTTCCCCTGAAAATCAAGGCATTTAGTTAGATGGTTTTAAGAGCCTAACTTTAGAGGCCCAAGTTTTGAAAATTTTGGCTTCACTGATTTTCCCAAAGCCATATAATTAGTGAGTAACAGAACTGGGATTAGGATCCAACTTTTTTTGGCTCCCAAGCTCCATGCTCAATTCACTACATGTCACTGCCTCTTGTACTACCGTTTCAACGTAAAGATTAGTATTTTACAGAAATAAAGAATCATTATTCTAGCCACCACAAAAAGTGATCCCAATTAGATATGTGTGTCGATAACAAAAGTGTGACCTGCATGAAATTATACTTTCCCTTTGGGGTGATCACATAATTTGCATTTGTAACTGCAATGGCATATAATTTCTAATGCAACATGAAATTGTTGAGGCAGTTCCACGAAAACTGCAAAATTCAGTCCTGTTTTTTTGCTGACAGAAATCAAAGCAATGTATTTCACGGCTGGAACTTTAATGCAGACCAGGTATTGCCTTGTGAACTCTAGAGGAATAATTTGTCACGGGTAAGTGCAGGGAATTTAATTGTTATTATGTTGTCTGATATTCAGGTTCAATTATGCCACCCAAAAGTCTCTACCTGCTGGCACATTATGGTTAGTTAGTAATATCCCTGTTGTGTTTTGTGCATGAGAACAAACTAAGATTATGCTTTGGAACCACAGTGGGTGTTGTGTTACTAGATAGTAGTTTTTGTTGTTGTTTTAGTGCATTGTTTTTGCGGGTTTTTGTTTGGTGTTTGGGGGTGTTATAAAAACAGAGGGTTTTTTGGTTCTTGGAAATAAAAACCATCAAAAACAAAAAATACAAGGAGGATAAAACTTCTTGCTCAGCAACAATGAAAAATCTAGTAAATTTATGTAGTCCCCAATAAAAACACACTCAGTATTTAATATTCTAGGGTAGCAAAACCATAATTAAGGCTGTACCACAGTTTTCAGTTTAACAGGATTCTTAAACCTTCATATATATATATATATAGTATGTGTGTTCATATATATATATATTATAAACTAAACATAAGATTTGACTTTTTTAAGGTTTCTGAATTTTTCATGGCTTTTTCTGAAAAGCACCTTATTTTTGACGAAAACTTTAAAAAAAAATTCTTTGAAAATGAACATTTTCTGGACAACCTTTTTTGTTTAAAAAAATTAAATGAAAATTTGACCAACTCTAATAATGTATCTAATTCTTCTGTCACACCAGCTTCATGTTAGCGTAACTCTATTCCCTTGGGTGGAATTAGTTTTCAATTTCATTGGGACTAGAGTAAAATCAGGTCTCTTGTACTTGATAGTGTGATCAACAGTATTTTGTTTCAGAGCAGAGCCCGGAGCTGGAGTGCGGAGCGGTTCCGGAGCAGTGGAGTTGCAGGTTTTTGCCTGGAGCTGGAGCAGAGCCGGAGCACAGCTCCAAAGCCCTGTTTGGTTATCTTTACTTGTTAATTTAGGCCCAGATTTTTAAAGGTATTTAGGCCTTCATAGATTCTAAGTCCAGAAGGGACCACTGTCATCATCTAGTCTGATCTCCTGTATAGAACTTCCCCAAAATAATTCCTAGAGCAGATCTTTTAGAAAAACACTGAATCTTGATTTAAAAATTCTCAGGGATGGAGAATCCACGACGGCCCTTAATACATTGTTCCAATGGTTAATTACTCTCACTGTTCATAAAATTGTACGTCTTATTTCCAGTCTAAATTTGTCTAGCTTAAACTTCCAGCCATTGGATCATGTTATACCTTTCTCTGCTAGATTGAAGAGCGCATTAGGAAATATTTGTTCTGCATGCAGATACTTATAAACCAGGGATGGGCAAACTACGGCCCGTGAGCCGTTTTAAGCTGGCCTGTGAGCTCCCACTGGGGAGCGGGGTCTGCGGCTTGCCCTGCTCTGGTGCTCGAGCTAGGGCACAGGGTCAGGGGCCGCACCATGCGGCTCCTAGAAGCCATGGCATGGCCCCTCTCTGGTGCTCGAGCCGGGGCACCATGGCCCTGCTCCAGCCCCTATGCTCTCCAATGGCCACACTCCAATGGCCCCCTCCGGTGTTCCAATGGGAGCTGCAGGAGCGGTGCCTGCGGACGGGGCAGCGCGCAAAGCCGCCTGG